ACTTATTTCTCTCTCACAAGAACAATATGCACATGAGGAAACACGTATGTATCATTCTATATAATATCACTTCGTCATCTCCATTCTTTATATTTCAACCCTGAGTAATTCGGATTCATGACAGCATTATAATAAACCAAGGGACATATAGTTATAGGTAGCACCACTTTTACTGAGTCTATTGAGCTTATATTACTAGCTTCGCCCCTGTCAATATTAATCTATTCTTTAGGATTCTTTCTTTGAAAATGGTTCAGTAATGGCAATGGTTAAAGAATCAATAACTTTAGATTATAATGATAAACAAGAAGACTGGTTACTTTTGCAACAAATGAATGAAGGCAGAGACGTGGGGCTTGGCTCAGCAGTTGCCAATTAGGATTTCCATCGAGTGGTGCTACCTGCCTTAGAGTACCATGGTAGCTGAACAATTTCTCTCAAATTCATATCATCTAAACACAAACTACTTGTCGTCGCCTACTTGCACTATTGTCTACACACTAAACTACATTTCCATATAATCTTATTACAATATCTGTTATAAAAAAATCAAGTAGGAATGGGATATTGTAAAGCTTCGCCTTGTATTAACTCTTCACGCCCTAATTTTATTTATTTATTTATTTTTTTATTTTTTTACCTTGTATATTTTCCTTTTCATACAGACTCGCCTTAACCTATACTCCCTTCTCTCCGTGAAGAATTTCCTTATTGCAAACCCTCCTTGTGGTAAGGACTCTCCCTACGGAAGGCTTATTGCACAAACCCTCCTCAGCTGGTTCTTTATTGCAGGAATTTCCTTCCCTCTGCAAATTCTTCGCATCGTGCAAACCTTCCCTCTTGCCTGGACTCTCCCCGCCGAGCATACTTTCCATGCTGTACAGATTTTACATGCGTGTACAGTGCATGTCGCCCTGTTATCCAACCTGCCCTCCAGACATTACTGTGTGCAATATCTTTACACTGTAGACTTCCTTTCCCTTCCTCTACACACAAGTTATCCTTACACAACACGCTCTCAACCCCGTCTACACACTAAGCCAGTCTGCACCAACTTCCCCGCACTATCCAAAGTCTCCTTACATTTGTACAGTCTTCTCCTCGCTGTGCATAAACTCTCCTTTCCCAATCACGCACTCTCTAACGTGCCATTTTCCAGGTAGGAGAAGCCCTTTAGAGATACAGCATCCAAGTCATCTCCCTTTTCCACGGGTCTCTTGGTCTCCGGCGACTCGTACCCACACAGCCACCGGTAGAATCTGAGGCTCTGTTTGTTTACATAATTTTCATTCGCTTTGTCTGGTTTGACGGGACCTGTTGCAGAGAGGGGGAATGGGGATCCGTGAATGGGGGAAAGTTGTTGTATTTAATGAAGTGGTAACGTGTGTGTGTGTGTGTGTGTGTGTGTGTGTGTGTGTGTGTGTGTGTGTGTGTGTGTGTGTGTGTGTGTGTGTGTGTTTGTGTGTGTGTATGAGAGAGAGAGTGAGTGCGAGTGTGTGCGTTCGTGCTTGTGTAAGTATGTATTCGTCTTTGTATTTGTGTGTTCATATGATCTATTATATTATTCTACATTTGTTTAGACAAATATCTAACAAACTTAACATTTAGGATCAAATTATATAAATGAATAGAATTGACTAACCTGTGCACAACGACACAACTGTAGACACAACAAGTACGATGGTGATCCCCATCATGCCAAGATAACAGTAGGAGATATCATACAGCCTTGGGTATGTGGCATCGGACGAACTGAAAGAAGTCAGAGAAATTAAATGGTGTCTGAGCGAAAAAAACAGAGAAGGACGGACACATACACACACACACACACACGAGCATACACACACAATCACACAACACAAAAACACGTACACACACACGAGCACACATACACAGTCACACATACACAGTCACACAAACACAAACACACACACACAAACACAAGGACACACACACATAGTCACGCCCACAGTCAACCAATGAAATATCCCATTTATAAACACAATACCCCTTCTAAAAAAATAAATAAATAACCACATCAACTCACTTGTTGAACAGCTGCGCATAGCCAGGAGCAGCACTGGAACTGTTGTAAATGCTGTAATCGGTGCTATTCACGAAGGAGGGCTGAGTCCCTGCGATCGTGCCGTCCAACACAACGTCCACAACAGGACATCCTTCAGTGGACGTCGGGAGCACGGGACTCTGGCCAGCGCCGTATGTAAACTTGCCGACGATGATCCACAGGTTAAAGCATAAGGCTGCTACAAAGCCAGCAGTTGCACCCTGGGGGGGAGGGAGGGAGGAAGAAGGGAGAGGTTGGTAGATTCATAATGTTGGTCTGTCGCAAAGTGCGACTGATTAAGAGAGATTAGTTTCCCTTCCGCGTCACGTCAACATTCACACGAGAAAAAAGGTGTTTCGTCAGTGTTTAATGAAGACCCTATTCCACTTCCGTCAGTGAATCACGCTACAAGAACAATAATTAAAAAATCTCACA